TGTGTACACACCAGTGCAGTGCCTGCATCCGGCAGAATGTGTGGGGGTGATGTGTACACACCAGTGCAGTGCCTGCATCCGGCAGAATGTGTGGGGGTGCTGTGTACACACCAGGGCAGTGCCTGCATCTGGCAGAATGTGTGGGGGGGGGGTGCTTTGTACACACTAGTGCAGTGCCTGCTTCCCACAGAGTCATGTAATCACCCTGTAGCTGGAGTTACAGGTAGCCTTGAGCTACCATGGGTTCTGAGGATCAAATTTGGGTCCCCTGCAAAAGCCTGAAGTGCTCTTAACCACACTGAGCTGCTGCTCCAAGCCAAGGGTTAGCTTTCAGTAACTACAACTTCAGATTTTCAGATGAGGGATGTGGAACCTGTATCAGTGTTATAAATTGCTGCCACTGATGGAGACAAAGTGAGAGGTATAAAGGACCTCATGTCCTAGGCATCCATTATTTTTTAATTTTTAAAGCAACCAAAGAATATAAACAGTCCTTAATATTCCTGATACCAAGCTATGTTCCACAAAGCCTATGAGAAACAACTTTTGCAAAACAAAAAACACATCACTTACATTTTATGAAGTCGAAATACGAAGAAATAAATTTCATACCTTTGGATTAAGCTTTGTAAGGTCGTATCTCTTCTCTGAAAGATTCAATACCTACAAAGGGAAGAAACGATTTTAGACAAAGCATGGTTCCCAGAGAGGAAGGAAAATACACAACTACATTGAAACAGTTGCCTCTGAGGACCACGGACCAAAAGAGATTGAAAGGCACAGATATGTGTAGTCACAGGGCAGAAACAAAGTCAGATGTGGATGAACCTCTGTAAGTCCTGCATGTTCCTTTTTTGTGAAACCAAAGGAGCACTTTTGCTAGCTAAACTGGGAATTGGTAGACTCCTTTTCTGTTGATATTTTTGGTTTGCTTTGCTTTCTGCTTTGTAGTCTCAATGGCTGCAGACATTTGAAAACATAAGGCCTGTATACACAAATCTGTAGTCGCTCTTCCTGGTCCTGCGCAGCTCAAGGGACTCTCTGGGAACAGGTAGTACTCATTCCTCAGAAGAGGAGCCAGGTATGGAAAAGCCTAAGCTGGAGACTTGTCACTGGCAAACCACAGCTGTCTGTGAAATCAAGCCTGACAAAAGACCACCTATGCCCTCACAGGACATGTGGCTCCTCCTTAACTCAACCTGGTACCTCCCAGGCCCTCTCAGTGTCAGCCCCACTTACACCACGCTTCAGTCAACAGCACTCAGCTGCCCTTCCTTGGAGGGTACAGAACACTATGGCCTGACAAGCTATACCACTGTGAGTGCCTTCTGTAAAAGGTGCGAGGGTGAAAGGCCCTCAGCAGTCTCTTTGGGAAGCATGAGAAAAAAGGGACTGGTTTGGGCACAGCTTTCCACTGGAAGAGCCCTGGTCCTGAAGAGGCCGCACTGTGATGGTAGAGGAAGCTCTGGAGGTGTGACCTTCTTGGGGGCTAGGATACTACTCCCTTGTCAACAGCCAGGCTAGAGCTCTGGGAGTCGTAGTCCTGGAAGATGTCATAGGCACTTCATGTAGAAACTATCCTGGAAGCGACAGCTATTGGTCCCCACTGAGTCTAGCCATGGGAAAAGGCTGCTAAGAGTGACAATAACCTCCTTGTTGGCTTTGTAAGATTAGCTCTCCAGAGATAAGGCGGCAGCATGAGAAGGTGCTAGAAGCTGTCATGTAATCTAAGCAGTGATTACAGCAGCAGAAAGAGGCTCTGTGGGGCTGGCAGCCCTGAAAGAGAACAGGGCCAATCAAAGACAGGAGTGTGCGAAAACATTCTTCTACTTCTCAAATATGGTCCCCTCATAGCACACACGCTGTAAAATCAGGCTACCTATGTTTGACCCCAGGAGCGCCCTTGTTTCTTGGACACCCACCCTCTTGCCTTTCCAATGCACTAAATACCAGGAGGCTGCTTCCTGACACTAAGGATACCGCCTGGCATTAGCCACGGATAGCTGACTGGGATGCCTACAGTCCCAGGAGCCAGTCTTACTGATAAGAAGTCATGATCAGTGCTAGACAGAGACAGAAGCTAGCCCTATAGTCAACTGTCACAGACCATGACACAACCAATAAGAGCAAAGCTTATAGTGGAAAGGTAGAGCATATGGCCAACCCCCACTTCCTAGACTCATGAGTCGGGTTCCAGACTCCAGGACCATTCCTCTTTGTAAGCAAGGCATATGCCCAACAAGGCCCTCGCATGCACCCTCTGAAGGACTCCTGCCTAGAGCCCCTCTGCCACACTGTGGCTGTCCTGACCACTCACCAGGTAGTTGTCTCCATGCTTAGACTTCAGCATGCGTGTGACTTCCTGCAGGCTGTGCAAGTAGGACTCCTCTGAACAACTGGCAGGGAAGGACACCGCGATGATACGCTCTGTGACATATGTAAGGTCCAGTTCATGGCTGTCCTCCATGGCTGCACTCAGGACCAGGGGCCTGCAAGAGAGGAGCAGGCAGTGAGGAAAAGAATAACAAGAAAAGGATGAACACTCACCCTGCCATTTTCAGGAGAGAGCTGGGAACTGCAGCTTCCTGGGAGTCTCATTACAGTCCATCAACACCGTTCCCCACACACTAGGTAGGGTACATAAGATCTACTGTAGGACAAGACTGAGCAGAAACAAGTCCCTGACTATGGGATATATGCAGAGGAGAAGCTGGGAGAAGAGCGCAGGGGCATGGGCAGAAAGCATGTGGGCACCCAGGGAGGCCTGTCAGGCTCCACCGTGTACCCAAACTGGCTCTTGGAGAAGGAGCACAACCCTGACTCCAAGGCTTCAGGGTCAGCACGAAGCAGCTGAAGGAAGCACACCTCAGACAACAAGAATGGTGTAAGTGCAGACTAGAGATTACAGAAGCCAGCAGCCACCCTGTCTACATGCTACTCCTGAGGAAGAGGCTAGTGAAGTAGACTGGACAAACTGTGGGGAGAAGGAGGGTTTGTGCCAGAAGCCTAGAGATGAGGCTAGACCCAGCATTGGAAAGTGGATGAGGTAGGACATGATGAGAGTGATTGCTCTGCCATCGAGGAGTGCTTTCGCCCTACATGCTCTTTGGGGGGAGCCTCATGTGAACAGAATGCAGGGGCCTGCACTCAGAATCAGGATGCAAATCCAAGAGACAGGGCAGAGGGCTACACCCAATAGAAAGCACTAAGGGAAATCAGAGCAGGGTACCATCTACCCACCATGCTGCCACCACTCCCAGGCTGCTTGCCTGGATTTATTTTTCCTACTTTCACTTCATGTTTTTCTCTGCCTTTCCTTGGCTTTGAGAAAGAAAATCAAAAACATTAAAAAATGGTCTAGCACACCTCCATGCACCCATTTATCCTTCAAACCATCAGCTGTTTTTGTCCCTATTTACCCCTTCACCATCATCAGCACCCTGCAGTCTCCACCTGACACTCACCAGCTTCTGCCCAGCAGCCCACTCTACTCTTGCAACTATTTTGAGGCAAGCCTAGATATTGTTCATCTACAAAAGAAAAATAAATAGTCCCAAGCACAGTGGCATACTTTTTAAATCCCAGAACTCAGGAAGCAAAAGCAGGCATATCTCTCTGAGTTCTTAGCCAGCCCAGTTCACATAGGACTGACTTCCAGGCCAGCCAGGGTTGCCCAGTGAGACCTTGTCTCAGATGGATGGCTGGATACAGACAGATAGACAGACACCAAAGAAACCTTTATAGTATAGTATAGATAGATGATAGATAGATAGATAGATAGATAACAAGAAAACCTCTATAGTATAGATTTCTAGAAGATTTTATCAAATCATCTATAATGCCATTATCATTCCTAAAAGTAGAAACAAGTATTCAATACTATAAATTTGTTTTTTACAGTTGACTTGTTTAAGCATTTTTAAAGATTTTTTTTCCTTTTCCATCTATTCTTTAAACATGGAAATAAAAGTTTTGATTTTTTTTAATAAACCAAATTAAACACGAATTACAACATGATCTCTTACAGCTATCTCAGACCACAAAGAGGTGCCTCCCAAAGGTTCTGTATGCATACTGAGCTGAAGACCCTTGCTAACAAGTGGCTGTTCCCTGGGGCATGCCAACTCATTCCTCACTACTGACATCATACACTCAGATGTCAACAATGTCACTATCTATCTAAAGACAATCACAGATGTTTCCACAATATAAAATCAGAAATGGTTATGAACGAGATGTTTTATCTATGGTGATTCATTCTTAAGGAGGTAGTTGGGGGCAGGCTGGGGTGCTCAGTAGTAGAGTACTTCCCTAGCGTGAACCAGGCTGTGGGTCCAATCCCTAGCATGCCTCCATAAAACATTGTGATTACTACAAAATAAATAACAAAATATCCTTGTCTCCTCTCTGGAAGTCACCCCCAACCCATGGCAAGCTTCTTTGCCAGAGGAACACTCACCTTGAAGGCTTGTCACAGCGGAGAGCTGCAGGTGGGGTGGAACTCTCAGGAGCCTGGAAACATCAAAATAAGAACACTTCTGAGATTTCCTTACATACCAGCCCATATGGCCCTTAGACCAAGCACCCAGCCCTGCTGCCACCACCGCCACCAGGAGGAAGAATGACAGCTGCCCCACAGTTTAATCATCAATGGTAAGCAAACACTGTCACCCCCCACTCTCCTTATCACCCGGGAAGGTGTGTGCAGCATATCGGAGGATTTCAGGTTACCCAATGGCACAATTCCATGAAAGGCCAGCAGTCAGAGAGTGGTGAGACCAACCCCTCTCCAGGGCTGGGCGGCCACAAACTCAACGCATACAGAAGACTTTGTGGTACAGAAGAGTCCCATCCCCATCAATGCCAGCCATGGTTGCTAATTATAAATGTGAGGCAGCAGTTCTCAGTGGTGCTAAATCTAAACATACACCAACAGGGAGAAAAATCCTCAGGCTCTAATTCCAGTTCACAGTGGGTACACAAGGATTGGGTTACATACCTAGATCACAAACACACCTAGGCATCCCCCTCTGTGGCACTCGGAAGTACTCTTCCTGCCCCATTCCTGATTACACTGGGTGACATTCTACTAAGAGGCAGAGAGCCTGTTTGGGGGCAGAGTCCTGTGAATTCCACCCCATGAATACTCAGAAACATCATATACCCCTAATTCTAATTTATACCTAGACCCCTCTCCACTCACTGTGATTGTAGGGACAGGAAAGAAGTGGTACAAATAGGTCAAGAAAGCTGTTTTCTCTAAATTATCCCAACTCAAAGCCTTCCAGGAAACCACAAACCTCAAATAGGAAACCCCTACTTCCGGAGCAGAGGCCAGAATCCACACCATGTGTTGGACATCAAGGTATCCACAGCATTCAAGTGGCTGTACTCCACAGCACCTTCTCCCTCGGCTAGTGGAGGCTGCTCCTCTCCTTCGTTAGATGACAGAGCCAGGCCCCATCCATCCCAACCCCAGGCCCTTGGGGTCAATGGCATGCTCCATGTCACAGCTTAGGGCTCTGTCTAGCCCCAAATGACCACAGTCTTTCCTTCTCACACCCAGCCAGGGAAGTCCTTCTGCCTCCAGAACCTCCCCTCTTAGCCTCCCAATCTACACCTATAACCCCTGAATCCGTAAAAGACTCCAGGAAGGTCCTGATGTCCCTCAGAAGGCAGAAACTGAACTCAGACTAGATGATCTCAGAATGGAAATTGTATTTATTAGAATTTAAGTAACAAACTTATAAGAAGATTTTTATACAAGTGCTGCTGATATGTAAACTAAACTGAGTCCTGACTTGTGAGGACACTGTGAGTGGATATGACAAGCATTTAAGACCCATCAGTTCTCAGGAGGATCCTAACACAATGGCCAAGAGTGTGTGGCATAGTACATGTAGACAGTGTTTACCTAATTGCAAAGGGCAAACAGCAAAGAAAGAGCTGGGACTAGGAAACTGTACAGCTCTGCAGATGCCGTGGATGCTACAATAGAAAAGCATCCTAGGCAGATGATGGCCAGCGGGTCCTGCCCAACCTCACTGGCATACAGGGGTACCAGGTGCTCCTCCAGTAACAGTGGAAGGGTCCCTGAGAAACTCACCCAAGGTGGAAAATACAATAAAACAAAACTGAGTTTAAGGGTTGGAAAGACAGCTTGGAAGTTTTGAGAGCTTCCTACTCTTCCAGAGGACCTATAGTTCCCAGCACCTGCACTGGGCAGCATGTGACTGTAACTCCAGCTCCAGGACTCTGGAGCCCTCTTCTGGCCTCTGTGACCTGCACACGCATTGCATCGCATCTCTCTCTCTCTCTCTCTCTCTCTCTCTCTCTCTCTCTCTCTCTCTCTCTCTCTCTCTCACATACACACACACACACACACACACACATACACAAAAAAAAAAAAAACAACTCAATCAGTAACTTTAAAATGAGCTTTAAACATATGTAACCTTAACATATGTAACCTGGAGAATAACCTGACAGCAACACCAAAGAGGTCATCATGCCCCCTTGTGATCACACAGCTGACCAGAGAGGAGTGGCGATCACTGCATACCTTAGGATATACCATAGAGCACAAGTTCAGGAAAAGATCTGAGTTCAAGTCAACATAGTTTCCAGTAAATACCCATCAGATCCCAACCACGTTGGGGTAGAGGGGCTCATCCCTTTCCCACCATTGGGTGTGTGTCTCAAGCTCAATCATCCTAAATCAGGCTCATTGGTACATAAACGAACTTCTCACACAACAGATACCCACATCCACACAGATGCAGACTGGATGCCAGATGCAGGCTGGGACAGAAGCAGTTTCTTTCTGGGACATATTCTGTAACATTTCCCTCTTGCATTTCCATAGGTTCAGTTTTTGTTTGTTTTGTTCCATTTTCTACTAAAAACACACAGGATATTTGGATAGAGAGGGAGAAAGCCACCATGCCTGTAGTCAGCTTGGAGACACTGCCAGTCTCAGGGGTGACATCTAGGCTTCTCCCCACCACACAAAGGGCTCTTCCCTGTCTTTTGTTCCAAGTGAGATAGTGTCAGGCAAAGCAGACAATAGAAGGAGCCACAAAGGGTGGACCTAAGGCTCTTGGACCTGGAGTGAGGACCCCACCAAAGTGTTGTTGCTCACAGGCAAACCTGGCTGAGAGGCTATGGAGGCCTCAAGGGAGCCCTGCACCTTCTACGCAGCTGTGATCTAGCCACATGGCCTGGACCTACTACCCAGGATCATTCCACCACCCTTACCTGATCACAGGCCTAGTTCCACCGCCACAAGAGGTTTCTGGAAATGACTGACTGATTGATCTCCCTTAGGACTGCACACCAATTCCAGTGAGTAATCAAAATCAATGAGACAGGGTCTTATCATGTTTCCAGGTAACTTGGTGATTGTAACCACCACCCTAATTGGAAGGTATCACCGCCCTGCTGGAGAAATGTCACCACTCTGCTGAAGGACATGTGACCCCAGGTGTGGGGCATCATTTCATAACTACAGAATAAACGCAAGAATGAAGGCTCAGCACCAGGACTCTGGCTCTGGAGCTGCTGGAGGCCTGAGATCAGCCACTGCCCTAAGCCCCACTTTCTTCTGTAAAAAGGGCAGGTTTGAGGGCCCTGTTGTAGTCATCCACATAGAACCATTAGCCTCAACTGCCAACCAAAAGACCAGGAATCTTAGTTAAAACACAAGTCCTGGTCTCTACACCTGACCATACCAACACCCCAAGTCCATTTGGTCACTTGGGCGCACCATGCTGGAACGCAGGCTGTGGTCTGAATATGGCTTTCCTCAGCAAGACTTGGGCTGAGATCCTTGCTTAAGTTTGGTCAAGAGAGATCTTTACCTTCATCTGTCCCTAAGACATTCATAGACTATTGGGCTAACGGGTCATCTCCAGTGGGTCTGCATAAGAACCGCTTCACTGCAGCCTCTTCATGTGCTCCTCTTGTCACGTGACACCCTCTGCCACTGAAAGACTCTGCAGAGACCCTACCAGCAAGAAGGCCTGTCAGTCCCACAGTGTAGCGGTTGGTCCTTGACACTGAACCAAGTCTGAAGTGGAACTCAGTGAGACAGTCCTTTAGCCTGGACCTCTCCACCCCTAGAGCCATGTACTAAATATTCAATCTGAAGATGGAGAGATGGCTCAGTGGTTAAGGGTACTTGCTGCTTTTTCAGAAGACCTGGTCTTAATTCCCAGCACTCACACGGCAGCCACAACTACCTATAACTCCAGGAAAGCTGATGGCCTATGTGGGCACCAGACACGAACATGGTATACATACATATACACAGGCAAAATGTGTATACATAAAAATAAGTATCTTTAGAACGAAATTAAAAAGGTAAATAAGTCTTTGTTCTATATAAATTACCTAGGCTATGGTATTCAGTCATACATGGCAACAAAAGCAGACTAAAACACCCCCACATCCATCCCACATTTTTCAGAATTTAAATCATACTTATCATTTTACCATGAGTCACACTCCACAGC